GAATTTTTTTTTTTTAAACGAACGAAATTCTAATTCATTCTGGAAACTCCAAACATTGCAAAATCGAATGTTAAAATCAAACAAAATTTCAAACGACATTTATCAAGTTTTATGGCATTATCGAATGTTCTGATGAGATTTCTCATATGAATGTTCGTGTATGGCCAGCTTCTCTGTCAAGCTCATAAAAGTTTTACTCGACAGGAAGTGAGGAAAAAAACTTGCAGCGGGGACGCAGACAGCAATAAAAAGCTGACACAGGTTCTGTCCTATCACTTCTCTAAAAAACAAATATTGCTGTCTATGTTGTCACAGGAAAGTAGGTGAGGGGAAGTCTCTTTAATGGAGTCTATGATTGAAAAGAAAAGAAAAAAAAAAAGATGTTCTAATTAGAGGTGCACTGAAATAGATTTTTTAGACCAAAAACAGAAAAATTGTCAGGCCAAAACCCAAACTTAAAATAATTTTTTTTCTAACCTTTTTAAATTATTATTTTTTTTAAATGTTATCTTTTTTTAACTTTACTTTTAGGGGGTTTGGGGAAATATTAGAGGTCTAAACAGAACCCTGATATTTCCTTTTTAAAATAGAAAAAGAGATTGAGGACACAGAGTTCTCAATCTTCTTTTCTGCAGCCCCTGTTATCAATGAACAGGAATCCTCTATACTGAGTGTTCCTGCTTAGGGATGCACTGATACCAAGTACCATACTTGGTACAAGTACAAGTACAGATACTTTTCCAGCTCCAAGACTAGACTAGAGAAAATTTCAAAAGTTAGGAGGCAGCTGCCATTTGTAAGGAGCACACGGAGCTCCTGGGATTTGTACATCTCTGTTTTAATGTCCGATTTTGTTTTTATAAATATATATAAAGGGATGCACCGATACCAGTTTTGCGAGTACAAGTACTGATATTTCAGGATAGTGGTGGAGTGCCAGAGCCAGGTCCAAGCTGCCACTGCTGCAACCCTGGTAGTTCTCATGAAAATGCCAAGTATCGGCACTGGTATCTGAACTGGTATCGGTGCATCCCTATTCCTGTTCATTCATAAACTGTGGGGATAGTATCAGTTACTGTAGATGTGATGTAGAGCACGTCCTATTCATTCATAACTGGGGACACAGTAACTAAATACTATGTCCTCTGTTATTTACAAACACTCAGCTTGGCCTCCTGTGACACTGCTGACAGCTCTCTCCTCCCCGCACCACTCTCTATCCTGATTTTCTTGTCACAGGAGGACGAGCAGGGCAGTGCAGGAGAAGAAATCGGCTTCCTGTGATAACACTGACAGTGCTCCCCGCACCGCTCAGCCTCCTGAAAGTTTCTCTCCTCCCCACTGGGCGCTGCTCTGTGTCCCCCCCCTGATCCTCGTGGCCTCTGCCCACACAGGCGGGGGGAGCAGTGGGAATCAGAGGGGACACAGAGCAGCGCCCAGCAGGGAGGAGAGAAACTAGAGATGCACCACATTCTGCAAAATAATTGTACTTTCAGCATTTTGCCAAAAATTTGGTGCATCCCTAGTTCTAATCTTTCTCCACTCCAATAGAAAAAAGGGTTTTGACTGGACATACATTTTCGGTTTATGGAGCTGGTATGTGAACGGCAATCACTCAGTGTATAGGAAGATTTATAAATCAGCCGCTCTCCACACATAGCATTCACCTTATTACTGATAACTTACATAATTAGAACAGAATGTAAAAAAAAAAGTGTTTTTCTGGAGTTCAGCTTTAAGCAGCACAAGTCTCACAACGCTTTTTCTTGTGATGCACTCCTAAATACCGTTTTTCTACAAGAGTGAGGCATGCTGGGAGTGGGAGGGGTTATACCTGGCTGGTATTTTTTTTTTTGCCAATGCCCAAATCTTCCTAAAGGCGGCAGAATAAACCAGTCTTATCAGAATAACTACTGATCCTGTGTCCTTTAATGAACTCCAAGATTTTACGGTAAGCACTTAAAACGTTCTCTGATATCCCTTGTTACATACAATCTGCATTTTACAAAGAACACTTTTGTTGCCACTGACTCATATGTCAGTAGTAGCAGGCCCCTGTAAACCGACTTAAGGCAGACCGGTAAAGGTGTCCTCTGGACGGGTGTCACCTAACTGGATGTCATCAGTCCATAATGACGTCACGCACCCTTAGCTGCCAGTGGTCATCTTGGTGATGGACACCGGCAAAGAGAGGGGGATAGGTTATGCTTCCGGGTCTCCTCTTCTCTCGTGCAGCAGTCTGGCTCTTGGTCCATGACCGAGTGCCCGACTCTTCATAGGGGGTGACACCAAAATGACTGTCGTTCATTTTGGTGTTACCCCCTCTGTTATTGTCACTTAATGCAGGCCCCACCCCGCTTGTGACGCCACAGCCCCCAACTTGCTTCCTGGGCTCCTCCTGAGGAACCCTAATCTCTCCTTAATGAGCATTTCTCATCACTAAAGTGCTTTTACAAAGGAGGGCTCGTGTGTTAAGTAAAACAAAAACAAAAAAGTTTTACAAAATAATGTAAAATACATTTATAAACACCCAAAAAAATGTAAAGTCACACTTCCCTGTGTACACGCATTCTATTATTATTATTATTCAGGATTTATATAGTTTGCGCAGCACTTACCAATATAAAGAAGACATTAGTTATAATACAATTCACGACAAGATGGTTAGGAGGGCCCTGCCCCTGAGGGCTTACAATCTAAAAGCTAAACTAATGAAAACACGCTGTGAGCGTGACTGCAATTGTGCCACACATGGTATCGCCACATGTGCCAGAGTGCGACTTATAATACTATGGCCATTATGGACATAAATGTGCACTTTGGACATAAAAATAAACAAATAGGCTATACAATCATGGGTATGCCGCTAGGGAAGTCAGAAATAGAAAAAGATTTGGGGGTCATTGTAGACCACAAACTGAATGGTAGCTTGCAGTGCCAAGGGGATGTATTGCAGGGACAAGTCTATAATTGTGCCACTTTATAGATCGTTGCTTCGGCCTCATCTGGAGTACGCGGTCCAGTTTTGGTCGCCGGTACTGAGAAGGGATGTCCTTGAACTGGAGAGAGTCCAGCGGAGGGCAACAATACTAATTAGGGGAATGGAGGACCAGAGCTATGAGACAAGGCTTCTGACCTTAAACATGTTTACGCTGGAATTAAGGAGATTAAGGGGGGATATGATTTTCATGTACAAGATGTTCAATGGTGACAGCAACATTGGCAACAAACTGTTTAAGATTAACTCCATTACAAAGACTAGAGGCCACCACCTAAAGTTGGTGGAGAAAAAATTCCAGCACAATGGGCGAAGAGGGTTCTTTACAGTAAGAGCGGTTAAGGTTTTTTGAACTCGCTGCCATCGGCAGTGATTTCAGCCAAGAGTGTAGATTTGTTCAAGAAACGTTTGGACAATTTCTTGAGGGACCGTAATATCCAGGGATACCAGTATCCCTAAGAATGAGATGATGCGTGGACCTATATGGGTTGGACTTGATGGACGTATGTCTTTATTCAACCCCAAATACTATGTAACTATGTAACTATGTAACTCAAACAGGGTTATTCACAAAAGGGTGAAGAGTTTGGAGGAGGCCGGAGAAGTTAACAATCTAGGCCAACATAGCTGAACGGGAAAGTGAGCTCAATTGCAGAATGTTTCCAGTTCAGGTATGTTGTCCTAGATTGTTCACTTCTCCAGCCTTCTCCAAACTATTCATCCTTTAGTGAATAACCCAGTAAATGTATGATCTGTACGGGCTTTTAAAGCGTCACCTATGAACAGGCTCAAGCAATCTTTAAGATGGGCATGTTGGATATCTATTTACTCAGCATAGCCTCATCTTTTGTCATCTACAAAACAATGGGGTATTATATTGTGTCTTTGTGCACTAAGATTAATTTTCTGTTGCCTTAGCGGCAGGAGAATGGCCAGAGCGTCCCAGGTTGCTAAGTGGCTTGAGTAAGTGAGGTTCTTACAGATTCACATAACAGGTTGGGGTAGAGAGTTCCAGAGGATGGGAGAGGTTCTGGAGATGTCCAGGATGGGAGGAGGTCATGAGCAAGCTAAAGAGCAGGAGGACTTGGAAGGACGTTTTGGGTGATATTTTGAATAATAAACTCAGATGAACCTCCATGTTTACAACAAATTAAAATATGAATGATCAATAACCCTCTGATCTTATATTTATTAATATCAACATGTGGGTGTTTGAGCTTATTATTATAAACTTTAATAATGAACGTAAATAACTATAACCATGTTCTCATTTACAATAAAGATATACCTTATGATAGTAAATGTTAAAGTGACATTAAACCCTCAGATTTTTTAACATAAAAGAATAGTGTAATGTGCGCCTTACTGTAATCCATGGTTGTTTCCCTGCTGCTCTTCCTTTTAACCCCTTCGTGACGGGAGACGTACACTGTACGTCCAGCCACAAAGGGACCAAATGACTCGTCACGTACACTGTACGTGACGAGTTATTTGCTGCACTAGAAGGCTGCTAGTTGTTTTATGTTAAAACAATCTGAGGGTTTAATGTCACTTTAATATTATCATCTCTCTGCTCAGACACACATGCTATGTGAAGTCAACCTTCCTAGCAAGGATGCCCCGCCCCACTGATACTATTGTGGTGGGGGCGGGACTAAGTGGGAAGGCCCCGGCCTGGGCATTTGCACCACTGTTAGCGGTGGCGGCGCCTCGTTATTATCACCTTTTAGCAGGCAGGAATGGCGCCCTACAGAAATAACCGTGTTGTCTCAGTTGCATAGCTTACGAATGCGGAGAAAAAGAAACCCTTTCTTTCACTTGCCCAAAGCCAATATGGCGCCACCGGCTCCTGTCTAGTGACGTTATTCTTCCGCGTCCCGGTTGTGACGTGGCATGCTGTTCAGTTCTAGCAAGCGTGTGATGCTTATTTGCTTGCTTCCCAAGTTTCGGGTTTCGTTTTCCTGGATTTCTGCCTCCTGCCGCATACACTTGTGTTCGGCCGCCATGAGTAACCATCTGCCGGACGGGTGAGAGAAAGGGCATGAGGGGGAGCAGCGCTTGTATTATGTGTGCCCAGTGTGGGGGGGTGAGCCAGCACAGGGAATGGGGTGGTGACTGAACATGGAGGAGTCCTCTTTATTTTGTTAAGTGGACGGGGGGAGATATATGGAAGGGATGACAGAGACTAAAGTGTACCTGTCACCAGAGGGAGGTAGCTGATCAGTGTCTTAAGAAACAGGGAGTGCATTGGTTTTAGTGGTTTGCAGGACTTGCATTTTAAGAAGGACCAGACACAAGCGCTGTATACATCTTAGGCTTGATGCACTTGGGGGATGAGCCCATGCAATGCAAATACTGGTTTAAATTGCCCCACCTGGGAGCAGTGTACACCAAATTCAATGGTTGTATGCAGGTATACCCCGAAACTTGTATAGACGTAAAACCCTAGATGTAGAAAACGTGTCCGCGGATTTACATCCATGCACATATGTGGCTGTACACAGCTACCGACGTATACCTGCTTATAGGCATTGACTTCTATAGGAGGCTCTCCAAAGGGGGAAATTATGCTGGTATGTGCGTTGTACAGACTCAGCCACCCATGTCCATTAAACAAAACCTTCAATGCAAAAATAACTTTCTAAGCATATCACCCCCATGATACTGAAATCTGCACACAAAGTTTACTTTTTAGTTTTGTTTTTTTCCAAGTGTTATCTCTTTGTGCTATTGCCAGAGGATTTTTTTTCCTCCACTTCCTGTCTATGGTTCTGAGCAGTGTGCACTGCTTCCTGTAAACCACAAATCCCAGGAACCATTGTGTCTGCCTGTTGTGCTGCGCATGCGTCTCTTTTTAAAGGAGAGCTATGTGGAGAGTGAAATGCACTTATCCCCATGGTTAGAGGCAACGTGTCACTGAAGCTGTCACACGCCAGCTGTCACTGCCCTCCGCTGGGATTGCCCCCTCCCCACTCCATTCCTCCAGCACTCATTGGAGGGACAGACATGGGAGGGGGCGGGCACAGCTGCCGCTGGCTCTAGAGAGGCAGAGCCAGCTGTCAGTCAGGTAGCGGGGTGGATCCTGACAATATTAGGATCTTTCTGGGCTGCGGCGTAGCTCAGCACCGTCAGCATATAGCGGGCATTAGTCCAGGCATTAGTAAGTATCCTACTGTGACCCAAAAAAAGTTTTGGCAGTAGTTTAATTCATTTGATTTTAATGAAGGTGAGGTTTCCTGTGCCATCTCTGGGTGTGAGCAGGGGAGGGTGGCTACCTTTCCATGTACATTGGGACCATGTAGACTATGAGGACATTTCCCTTCACTTCCTGTCCAGTAGCCACAACAGAAAGTGAGAGGGAGTCTCTTAAAAAGCTGAACCCCAGAAATTAGGGATGCAACGATACTGGTTTTTCAGTATCTAGTACCGATTATTATTAATATTTTTTTTTTTGGTACTTACCGATGCCGGAAGTCGGGCGGCTTGTAATGAATAGCTACCCGGCTTCCTGATTAGCCTGGAAGCCGGTGTTCTATCGAAACCTCCAACTCCTCAAGCTCTCCAACTATCTGACTTCCGGTTTAGTTAGAAGTAAGAGGTTTGGCTGAGAAGGCTGTACTGCACGTGCGCCACCCGAGGCATTTCCCTGTATACATAGTACACAGCAATAAAGTTTTAAAATTAACTAGGTTCAGACTAATCCAGCACCTTATTCATCTGAGTCGCCCCACTCAATATGTCCATTGCTTGCAGCCCTTTTGAGTGGGGCAACTCAGATGAATAAAGTGCTATATTAGTGTGAACCTAGTTCATTTTAATACTTTATTGCTGTGTACTATGTGTATAGGGAAATGCCGCGGGTGGCGCACGTGCGCTATAGACTTCTCAGCCAAACCTCTTCTAACTAAACCGGAAGTCAGATAGTTGGAGAGCTTGAGGAGTTGGAGGTTTCGATAGAACACCATCTCCATGCTCCCTCGTCAGTAGGTGATGAATCATGGAGCCGACTTTCTGGCCAATTAGGAACCCGGGGGCGTTTAATGACTTACTGCCTGGCTTTCTGATTGGCCAGCTTCCCGACCAGGTGACAAGGAAGCATGGAGCTGGCTTTCTGGCCAATCAGAAAGACGGCGGGACTCTCCGCCTGGCTTCCTGATTGGCTAGCTTCCCGACCAATCAAGATTCAAGGGGGCTGCATGTAATGATTCGCTGCCCGGCTTCCTGATACCGGAAGTTCTAGTATCGGGATAAGTATTGGGAGCATTTGGGTGAGTACGAGATACTAGTATCGGTGCATCCCTACCAGAAATTGCTCACTCCGATTTCACTGCACACTGTGAGCTGTAAAAGCTCCAGGAAGTCAGATAATGGTGCCTCATTTCCTGGCTGGAGGACGTCCAGCATCATCTAGGCCAGGGGTAGGCAACCTTGGCATTCCAGCTGTGGTGAAACTAACAAACCCATCGTACTGCTGACTCTGGGAGTCGTGGCTGTCAGTCTTGCAATGCCTCATTGGACTTGTAGTTTCACCACATTTGGTGAATGCTGAGGTTACCTACTCCTAATCTAGCCCTTTCCTCCCCAGCCAGACTGTACCTGGCCTGCCAATTTCAGTTCTTTTGATCGTGGAGGCTCCATATAACATGTGTTTGACCTAGGACCTCTGCATGCAAATACAGTCTGCCTATGAACACGCACTCCTCCAGACTGACACCCATCCATCAATGCATTTTAATATTTGTATAACCCCTCCTAAGAGCTGCTTGCATCAGTGCTCAGTACTCTTGAGAGGGGTACTGAAGCAGGGCGCACCCTGCCAACCCCTCCCACAAGCCATGGTCTGCCTGCATTGCATATAAAGGCACAGAGACCCATGGATGAATTTATCCAAACTGGAACAGGCAGAATGTGGAGCAGCTGCACATGACAACTGAGAGAGACGCTGATTGGTTAAACTTTGAAAATGAAGCTGAATGGTTGCCATGGGTGACTGCTCCAATTTTGATAAATTCCCCTCCCAGTGATGACAGCAGTTGTTCTAAAATGAGGTATGTAATGAAAGGCGGTCGTATTTTATCATTTCTTTAGCATGTTGATGACGTGGGAGAGGGAGGAACTAGAGAAGGACAAATATAAGCAGATTGAGCTTCATCTTTAAGTTTCTCAGTAATATGAGATTACAGTCCCCAGTGTAAATGAGTCCCAATAAATGTCATTGGCACAACCTGTCAGTAAGAACATCACATGTTTATCTGCCCTGAGCGGAGCAAATTCATCAAGTTGCTGTCTTTCTCCTCCTGTAGGTGGACGGAGTACAGTAATGTTGGAAAGCGGATTCCTGGAACACGTTTCATTGCTTTTAAGGTTCCCTTGAAAAAAGTAAGTTTTGGTTCTGACTTGCCTGTTGTTGTTGTTGTTATTATTATGCAGGATTTATATAGCGCCAACAGTTTGCGCAGCGCTTTACAATATAAGGAAGACATTACAATCACAATACAAATCAAGGTAAGATGGTAAGGAGGGCCCTGCCCATGAGGGCTTACAATCTAAAAGGGAGGGGGAAGTGATGCATGAGGAGGTAGCTGTGTGGGGATGAATTGTATGAGAACGTGATAGTTCAGTGGTTAGGTTTGGGTGGGATAGGCTTCCCTGAAGAGATGAGTCTTTAGGGAACGTCAGAGTGGGAGATAGTCGGACAAATTGCGGTAAAGAGTTTCATAGGATGAGAGAAACTCTAGTGAAGTCCTGGAGATGAGCATGGGAGGGTGGCTACCTTTCCATGTACATTGGGACCATGTAGACTATGAGGACATTTCCCTTCACTTCCTGTCCAGTAGCCACAACAGAAAGTGAGAAGAAAAGAGTTGATGAAGGAGCTGGAAAGCAGGAGGTCTTTGGAAGATGGGATGGTTAGGGTAATACTTTGAGACCAGGTTGGAGATATAGCTGGGAGCAGAGTTGTGGATGGCTTTGTAAGTGGTTGTTAATATTTAGAATTTTATGCTTTGGGCTATTGGAAGCCAGTGGAGGGATCGACAGAGGGAAGCAGCAGCATGCTCTGTTATGCTCTAACTCAGGGGTAGCCAAACTCCAGCCCTCCAGCTGTGGTGAAACTACAAATCCCATGATGCATCTCTCTCCGGGAGTCATGTCTGTGGCTGTGATAATCTTGCAATGCCTCATTGGATTTGTAGTTCCACCACAGCTGGGGGGCCGGAGTTTGTGTACCCCTGCGGAGTCTAACTGATGGGCGATATTGCATGTGCGTTCGTTTGGAAGAGACTCCATTATTCTTTTTTCTTTTTAGGTGTTTGATACCAGGCTGGCACCTTTGCAGAGGTTTTCAACGACCGAACTTATCAGTGAAATTGAGAAGCAAAAAGAAGAGCTTGGATTTGTTGTGGATCTGACGTGTACCAAACGCTACTATTCCCCACAGGTACACATACCTAGAGAATCTTGTGCAGTATGTAGAGCTGCTCACCACACTAGTTGAATAACAGAAACCTGTATTTGGAGGGCTATGAGGAGGATTTATCAAAACTGGAGCAGTTGCCCATGACAACCGATCCGCTTTTTTTCTTTTATTTTCAAAGCTAGATAGAAGCTGAATAGTTACTATGGGCAACTCCAGATTCTGTCTGCTCCAGTTTTAATTGCTTGTCTGGCTATCTCTGGCATCAGCACATCCTCAAATCGTGAGAATATTTCAGAGGTGCTGGTAGGAGTCTCTTGCTATCCTTTATGATAGACCGAATTTGATTTGTACATAGCTCATTAGCTTATGATTAGGCCACTCAAAAACACAGAAGGGGGGAATTTATCAAAACTGGAGCAGTTGCCCCTGGCAACCTATTAGCGTCTCTTTTAGTTTGCTCAGTTAAGATTTGAAAATGACAAATAGAAGCTGATTGGTTGCCATGCACAGCTTCTCTAGATTTGATAAATCCCCCCTCAGTCTCCAAAAGGAGATATTCCTTTTGGAGACTCAGGGAAAATAGAAGAGCGCCGGACCAAAAACGGTGCTGCCTAGGTGTGAGCAAGGGCTTATTGTAGTCTGTGTTCCCTTTTTATGCGATAACCCCTCACTTTGTGTCCCTCATCAGAGCGAGATATTAGGATGACTGGTGTCACCAGGGCAGGAAGATGTGGACAGCAATAGGAATCTGATCATCTAACTTTTCACCAGTCTGCCAGTAAAAATGCTTTTGTTATCGCTGTCCACATTTGAGAATTCTCCCATTTAATCGCAGTCCAGTGACACAGGAAGTGAACAGTCTCCAGGACAGGAAGTAAGAGGAAGTCTTCTTAGTGAGAACACAGCAACCTAAGAGGTTCTAAGCCCCCCCACTGTCCAAAATAATAATAAAAAAAATTGTAATTTATTCATATATACAGTAAATACTTATGACCTGTATTTATTGTTCTTTACAGGAGCTGCCTGCAACAGTACAGTACGCAAAAATCTTCACAGCTGGACGTCAACTGCCTACCGATGAAGTCATCTATGAGTTTAAAAGCACAGTAAAGCAGTTTCTGAGTGAGAATGCTGACAATGGTAAGTTCTTTTCTTTCAGTCTTCCAGGCCATTTGGTTTGTCAGGATTACCTCCAAGGCATCCAATGTGACCATAAATTATAGTCTTCGCTCTGCTTAAACCCTACAGACCTGTGGTTACGCCACTAAATGATACTTTCATTTAGGGCTTCCGATTAAACTGCCGAGGGGAAAAAAAAAATATCCACTTGCAGGTCATATATGTTACAATGATTTTATTGCAGCACAACATACTTACACTTTATGGCACCCTTGCAAGTGTGCTGTCCTCTAACGCTGACCGATTTAGGCCGTCAGTCACTGCCGCCATCGCCTCCGCTTTTTCTCCTGGGACTTCTGTCGATCTCTTCGTTCATCGGGTTGCCTGTGATGATGTAACTCCTTCGCACGCACTCAGGAGTTGAATTGTCCTTGGCACCGGTCTCCATTCCCGGCAGATGTTGCGAGGGACCAGGGCAGGCATCGTGAAGTGTAAACATGAAAATAAACTAGGTTGGAAGCAAACTTTTTTTTTTTTTGGTCAGAAGAGAGATTGGTCGTCTTTTCTGTAAAAATCTCTACTTTACATAGCAGCAGTTTTTATTTTCTACTTCCACTTTATCCCCATAGTGACACAGCAGCAAAAAATGTTTTAGTTGCTGGAGACCGGAGCAATTTCTAAATTTTTCCTATGCATTTGCTTAACCATAATTTCCATCTTCCTCATTCATTGCACCTGCACATATTATATAGCGTTTTTGTAAAGGACAGAATGGGATTTAACTTGATGTGACACATGCATATAGAAATTGTTGTTTTAGTTATAAAAACATAATGGGGAAAACACATTTTTCACAGTTGTGGCAATAATAATGTGTACATAATTAGTGTAGCTAACAGAAAGTAAATACATTATTTTATTTTTCCTTATTTATGGGGTATATCACATGTCTGGGATTTCAGTTTATTTTGGGAGTTTTATAGGTCACAAAATACAAGGAGTGAAATACAATTTTAGTGTGGAACAATTTTAGAATGTGGTATGTTTGTCTTTTAACTTTAATAGACTCATCGGCGCTATATTTTCTTTTTTATATTAAATGTATTTTTTACTTTTTCATTTCTAAAAACTGTTTAAAAGTTGTTTTGTTTTGGTTTTTTTTTAACTACTAGGGGGAGCACAAAAGGGTTTTTATTTTTATTTTCTTCACAGGCGCTGTGGATACTTGGTATTCGGAGGAGACACTGTATTCTCCTCAGAGATACTTTGTATCACTTTTTAGCACACTGATCCAACACGTTCAGCTCCACAATACAATGTGATGAGCTGCAAGCCGGATCAGTGGCTCTAACAACACTGTGATCACTGTGCTAGAACCCCCTTATTTGCTGTTGAGGGTCTGCCTCAGACACTGAGGGACCCATCAACAGCATTAGGCCCAGGAGCGATAGTCCCACCATGGACCAGCGATTATTTTCCCGTATGACGGAATTATTCCATTACCGGTCTTTAACCATTTGAAAAAGTTTGAGGGAATAATTCCGTCATCGGTAGGGATGGGGTTAAAAGCACCCATGGAATTTGTTGACATTCTACAATTAAACAGGCAAATGTTAGTTATGATTCAAACATTGCCTGCAGATAACGGTGATCTACTTAACCACCTTCCGTCCATGGCCGTTTGTGAACGGCCGGAAGGAAGTCTGCTCAGAGCGGGTGGGCGTCTTAAGACGTCCTGCCCCTCCACGGTGAAACACTATGGCCTTTAAGTGGTTAAATGAATAACACATAAAATTCTTATGGTGTATTTTAATTTTCAAGATCTAAATGAATGAAAATGGTGATTTCTCATGTGGAGAAAGTAAGTACACCCCCACAGTTACCACCATTTCTTTATTATCAGTACTTATTTAGTGCCGACAATTTACACAGTGCTTTACGTTTTAATACTGCGTATTACTAGGCAGGGAAACGCTAGGAACATTTTGCCTGAATGTTCAACACGACAAACTAGCCCTTTCAATGGTAGGGATGGATTTCTGTGGGCTAAACAAAAAGAAATGCGCAGTGTGCCATAGTGATTGATGGGCCGACAATTTTACGCAGTGCTTTACATAGTGCACATTCACATCAGTCCCTGCCCTGAAGGAGCTTACAATCTAAGGTCCCTATCTCGCATGCATGCATACAAGGGTCAAGTTAGACAGGAGTCAATTAACCTTCCAGCATGTCTTTTGGAGTGTGGGAGGAAACCCTCGCAAGCACAGGGAGAACATGCAAACCCCTTGTAGATAGTGACCTAGTCTGGATTCGAACCAGGAGCCCACAGTGCTGCAATGCAGAAGCGCTAACCATTACACCACTGTGCTGCCACCTCTTCAGATTATTATTATACAGGATTTATATAGTGCCAACAGTTTGCGCAGCGCTTTACAATATAAGGAAGACATTACAATCACAATACAATTCAAGATGGTAAGGAGGCCCTGCCCCTGAGGGCTTGCAATCTAAAAGGGAGGGGCAAGTGATACATGAGGAGGTAGCTGTGCGGGAATGATTGTTTTGAGAAAGTGATAGTTCAGTGGTTAGTTTGAGGTGGGATAGGCTTCCCTGAAGAGATGAATCTTAAGGGATCGCCTTAAGGCAGTCAGAGTGGGAGATAGACGGACAGGTTGGGGGTAGAGAGTTCCATAGGATGGGAGAGACTCTAGTGAAGTCCTGGGAGGTGAGCATGGGTGGAGAAACTAGAAACAGGTGATCCAGAATAGATGCCAATGGTTAGAACCTCCCTTTGGGAATATGAAGGTAGAACCCACATAAAATGAGCCCCAAAGCATTGAAAGGAAAATCATGAGCACTCATGTATGAAGAACATACTGTAAATCTATGTTATGCTTATTGATACATACTCGCGTGTCATAAAAGCCAACATTTCAGAGCCATGTAGGGTCCCTTCTCCAGGGCCACCGATTGACGACTGAGGAAGGGACCCTGCGTGGCCCGAAACTTGACTTTAATGATGCATGTGACTGGTATCAATAAACGGAACAAAGATTTATGTTCCTAATACATGAGTGCTGGTGATTTTTTCCTTTCAATACTTGGAAGTTTCAGACGGTGCCATCCATGTAATCTCTGTGGGCACCGCTATTCTTCAAAAGGTCAACAACGCTGTATGGAGTTCAGGTGGTCCTGAACACATATGAACCTGAACAAATATGAACACATAATTTGAACCTCAAACATCCAGAGCATGAAAAAACTGCAGCATGCCCTATTTTTTCTGCTCTGGAACGCACCAGAACGCCCTGGAGTGCACTGAAAGCCCACTTTAGGCTAAAAAATAAAACAAGTCCCGGAAAGCAGCAAAACACACAGCACTGTATGTGCAGAAACTCATGCAGATCTGGTCCGCATTTGGTGTGAACAAGCCCAGAGTTTTGAGACTAGGGGGTTGGCATGGCTTATCTTCCGAAGATAGTGGCACTATAGTGCACAAGCCATGTTATATTCTTGAGTGTAGCAGTAAACGGGGAGGACACTGTAGTCATTGTAGATCCAATGCAAGTGGTTTATTTACTTTTGTCCTATAAAAATTTGATTGCCGTACAAAATATGGGGATAAGGTTTGTAGGCAACTATTATGTACAATGTGGAACAAGTCTAAGGACAGGACATAATGACTGTGTGGTCCAGAGTGTTTTGAGAAATATGACACTTAGGGATGTCCCGATACCACTTTTTCAGGACCAAGTACTTCCCCTCATGTACTTGTCGATACCAATTACTGATGCTTTTTCTTAAAGGGACATGTGTCTTCTTTTTTTTAAACAATACAGACTAATGATTTTAGGCCAATTTCTTTGATTATGAAGTACTTTAATTTAAGACTGTTTTAGAATTCTAGAACATTTGTATTTGCTTTCACACTGCTGTCGTGAAACTACAAATCCGATCATGCATCTGCCTCTGGGATCATTTAACCTATTCATGTTAGCAGGGCAGAATTATAACTCTATTGCTGCAGTGTACTGGAAGTGTGTGCTATGGATCATTTCACCTGGTACACACTTCCAGTACACTGCAGCAATAGAGTTATAATTCTGCCCTGCTAACATGAATAGGTTCAATGATCCATAGTACAACTACATGTTATGTACTATGGATCATGATTTAACCTCGCTGGTGAGGTCGTAGGCGGCGTTGTGCGGGAGAGCAGTAGCGAGTCAGCGCTGGTCCGATGGGAGGAGCCCCAGATGGGGGTCCTAATTTAGCTGGCCGGTGACTGCCCAGAGGTGCCGCACGTGTCTGGGTCCTCTGGGCAGTCGCCGGCCAGCTAAATTAGGACCCCACCTGGAGCTTCTCCCATCGCACCAGTGCTGACTCGCTGCTGCTCTGTAACGCTTAGTAATTCAATTTTCAGTATCAGTAACTTACACATTATAAATGGAACTGATTCGCTATAAATGCCCCAATCCGTAGGTTACACAGGGAAAGTAATGGGATCACTATTTTATCTGTATTTCCTCATACAGGTAATGTCACAACAACAAAAAAAACAAAGTCAATGCCTGTCGGCTCCGTCTATGCAAAGTAACATAACAGTCCCCGAATGCAGGAAGAGAGCAATAATCACTTCCTGCATTCAGTGTCGCTCTCCAGCTACAGAAGCTGATGAAGCCGATCTCTGCTTCATCAGCATCTCTGGGGGTCCCTAGGTGACATTAGGGGTCTTGAAGACCCCTGATGTCTTCATAAAGAGGACCTGCATTGTAAATTGGCTATCACATAGGGGGCTTCTTAGCTTCCCATGTAATAGCAATAAAGTTCTGTGTAAAAAAAAAAAAAAAAAGTAATACAAAAATTTAAAGGAGAACTATGGGGTTAGGGCTTTTCCCCATAGTTCTCCTAAGGGTAACGGGAGGACACAAACTAGCGTCCTCCCATCACCCAAAGCTCAGTATCTAGCCCCGCCCCCCCATTCCCCTGAGAAGCTCTGCCATTGCTAGTGACAAGGAGAAGCTTCACAGACATTGATGCTTGCCCCTCCCCCCACCACCACCCGGAGAGGAAGAAGAGGGCATGAGGACAGAGCACATCACCACTGTAAGTCCCTTTTCTATCTTACACCGGTGACCTCCGCACTGCGTCACATTACTGACCTCCGCACTGACCCCCACCTGGACTCTGGTGCCGGGCTGTTGTATTCTGACAGTGGCACATGCGCTGTAAGTTGCTGTTCATGCCAAGAATATGGGGACAAGCTTTGGATCAGGGGGCTTCCGACGGGGCCAAACGCTGCTCAAATTCCTGCTCACTCCAACAGTGTGTGACCAGTGTACGGACAGCTTTAGTATGTTCATGTCTGGGGAGAGGACTATTGTGAAGCTGATCTCCGGGAAACCTTCTTCTACTAATCTTTTTGATCTGTTGAGTATAATAAAGTGTGAAATCGCTGAAAACACGTAAGGTATCTGTGACATCATCTTGATTTCTCGGTACGGCCAGGCTAAGTGGGAGAGTACACTATGGGGCCACACGTCCTATCCCTGTCTCTCCTAATGCCAGATAGAATTATACATGCCATCATGTTTTGGGATGGTAGTTACAGTTATGGACGTTTGTTGCGTGGGGTCAAGGGCATAAAATATGATTTGATTTCAATAATATATTTAAATTTTGTTTTTCCTGCAGAGAAACTCATTGGTGTTCACTGTACACATGGTTTGAACCGGACAGGATATTTGGTGTGCAGGTAGGTAGGCTTTTTACTGTTCTTAGCCGTAATATTCTAACCCCAACATGTGGGGAAACATTAACATGAACCATGTTTCATATAAATATATCACACGGGACAGTAAATGATAGCAGTATGCTACATTTCAGGAGCTTCAGGTACCAAGTACATTTATTGATGAAAAGATAATGCTGTCCATTAACTACCGCAAATGTCTAAGGTCAGCAGCCAGTCAGCTTACCTGCAATACATATTTCAAGTTACCACAGTTGAATTACCTGCAAGTCTTTTCACAGGGCTTCTGGGTGGGACTGTAGGTTGATGTGTTGCCGTATGGCCCTTGAGGCAGAGGCTGTAGCAGCAGTATATGGGATCGGCAATAGTGGGAGCAGTGTTGGCAAAGCCTGGGAGCAATCTCAGAGAGACTATGTTATGGGATTCATCTTTACAGATTGAAATGGCAGCAAAGCAGGGCAATGTTGTTTATTATGGGCTACTGTAATTACTAGGGATGCACAGATACCAGCCAATCAATCGGCATCGAGCCTGCCAAACAGCGTGGAGCCAGCTTCCCGGCTACATGTTCCATCGCGGTGCTGCCGGTCAGAAGAAATCTCCCTCTGACTGGAAGTTCTGGCATCGCATAAGAATCGGGAGCATTTGGCCGAGTACGAGTACTCACCCAAATACTCGGTATCGGCACCGATGCTAGTATTGGTGCATCCCTAGTAATTACTGTCGTATTGATTGGGCTAATGGAACTACACAGTCCACAAAAGCTGGTCATTTTTTGAACCTATTGCAGGGCAATTTTATGGGTCAGATGGTGGAAGCCCTAAGAAGGTAATTACTCTGTTGGATCTATTAATTTCAAGTAACACAAAGCTCATTACATTGAGGTACAAGGAGACCAGAGCCTGGTCTCTATTGGAGGGTGCCTGAGTATAAATTTCCCACTGCTTGTTTAAATCTGAGATGGTTTTCCCAAAACGCTGTGGATCCTAACAATGAGGACTCATTTACATTAGCTACACGATAAAACGTGGAATGCTACCGTGCGGCTAGTGAACACTAGGTGGCATCGGTGAGCTGTGGTGCCCTGGATTGTTACAAAACAAAGCACTGTTTACTTTTTTTTTCGTAACTTTATTTGGAGTGTACAGAATATACACACCATCCATGTCTCCGCACATCAGTGCTCTACATTGCGGTGTGGTGACTTGGCATCCAGTGTGCTGCAGAAAAATTTGATATGTCTGCATTTTACAGCAGCCCACCAAACATCCCATATGTTGTGGTGCGAACAGGGCACATAGAAAACAATAGTTTTTACTTATAGAATTTTTATTAAATGTTTTTATAAAGGAACTTTGACAGAAGTGCAATAAGACAAGTGCAAGGAAACACAATTGTCAAACAATGGAAATATTAAATGCAGGACCAGTTAGAGACCCAATTACAGATGAACCTGGGAAATGTGAAGGTATCATTGCAAAAAATCTCCATGTGGGGGGGTATGAGAAAAGGGAAGCCCAGGCCCTAAGACAGTATTGGACCTGGAGTGACCTGGTGGGCTGGAGAAAACATGCAAGATCTTGGCCTGTATGTATTTCCTTACCTTAATTTTAATTGACTGTGTAACTTTTTACAATATTTTAAATGCAGCAAAACATTTTAAAGAATGGAAATTGAAATGGCTCTATACCAGTCTTTCTCAACCGGTTGTGCCATGTTACCCTGGTGTGCCTTCTGGCTTCCTCAGGGGTGCCTCAAAATGTTGTGGTAGTGGAACTGTAATGTGAAGGGAGGGATGAAGACTGAGGTGAAGGGGGTTCCTGATGTCAAGGGGGCGACTCTCTTATATTAAAGAAGGACATGAGAAATTGAGGCTCCTAACGTAAAGGAGGGCTACTGCTGGAAAGGGTGACTCAGATGACAAGGGGGAAACCCATTTTTTTGTGTGTGGCGTCCGCCTTAAAATCTATGCTATTTTAGACTGGGGTTCCTCGAGATTGTGCATACATTTTAAAGGGCTCCATTGCTGAAAAAAGGTTGAGAGGCACTGCTCTATACTGCTGTTAGGCCTTATACATATCATGGACTAAACTGGTATCATGATGTCTATCTCTTGTCTGGTGAGGCATGAAAAGGCAACTTGCTAAGAGTTGTTTTTGTCCTACTGCATCATGTAAGCATGGACACGCTGCAGCTTAATTCATTTCTATTTCTTAAAGGAGAATTGATGACAAAACTTTTTATTTTGTAGCTTTAGATGGAATAAAGGAGGAATATAATCCATGTTGGGTTTTTGTTGCCATCTGTGTCCCATTGGGGAGATTTCCTTTCACATGCTTTCTGATGGCCAATATCCTTAACAAGAAGTGAGAGGAAATCTCTCCAAAGAGAGGGAAATCCCTCATTAGTGTCCCCATTGGAAGATTTCCCATCTATTTCTGTTCTGGCGACAAACCGAAATGTAGGTTTTTCTTTGTGCTTGCGTGGGTTTCCTCCAGTTTCCAAACACACTCCAAAGACACGCTGGTGGGTTATTTGTCTCCTGTCTAAATTGGCTCCGTATGTATGTGAGATAGGGACCTTAGATTGTAAACTCCTCGAAAGAAGGGACTGATGTGAATGTGCACACAGTGTTGCATAAATTGTTGGTGCAAGGGCTCAAAATTTCAAGTCCTGAGCTACTAGCCAGGCCTTAAAAGTTACTCGCCACCTAACCCCTACCCTGCCCCGGACTTAACTCCGCCAGGTCAGTAATGTAACGCACAGCGCAGAGGTCAGTAATGTAACACACAGCGCAGAGGTCAGAGTGACGCACAGCGCAGAGGAAGAAAGAAAGGGACTTACAGTGCTCTTAGCTGGTATTCAGGTGCCTCTTCTTTCTCTTGGGGGATTGGGTGTAGGTCGGTGCAGAGATCCTCCATGTACCTTCTTTTCCCTGCTAACTTTCTGGATGGCCGGTCTCACCGTCTCTGCATTCTTCCTCCCAGCCTGGCAGCTGAGGTGGGCGGAGGAAGCTGCAGAAGACAGCGGATGTCATCGAGGTGCGCCGGCGGCGGGACCAGAGATGGGACACTACTGCCACGGCGATCTCTGTAGCTACAGTGGCCGATGAGAAGAGAGAACAGAAGCGAGCAATTGCCGCGGCGGTAGTGTCCCATCTCTGGTCCCGCCGGCGGCGCTCTTCGCTGAGATTCCACTCGCCCCCCGCAATTTTCACTCGCCAATTGCGAGGGGGCGAGTGGAAATTTTGAGGCCTGGTTGGTGCTATATAAATAGTGACCGGGACAAATGGAAAGGTGGATTTTCCCTGATGGGGACTGCAGTAAAAGCCTGATGGTCTAATCCCTCTCTACTCTATCCAAAACTGAAAAAAATATTCCAATCTTCAAGTATTCCACTGGCCTGCCAATGGGCTATTCAACTGTATATTTTTTTAAATTACGCTAAGTGTTCACAGCAGCAAAGTATGCATTGGCTTTTATTTACCAAGCACTACAACAACGTCAGGAGGAAATCATCATCTTTCTCGCCTGTTATTTTGGTTCATCTTGAGTAAGTGTGTATCGGAGAGTAGGGATGCACCGATACCGGTATTTCGGTATTGAGCACGGGTACCGATATATTTTTTTTTCTGTACTCGCTGATATTGAACACCGATACCGGAAGTCCCATTAAGGAAGCCAGGTGGCATGTAATGACTCGCCACCTGGCTTCCTGATTAGCGGGGAAGCCGTCCCCATGCTTCTCGTCACTAGGTAATTAGAAAGCATGGAGCCGGCTTTCTGGCCAATCAGGACGTGTAGTGACGCGGCGCCAGGCTTCCTGATTGACCGGGAAGCCGGCTCCATGCTCCCTCGTCATGAGGTGACAAGGGACCATGAAGCCGGCTTCCTGGCCAATCAGAAAGCCAGGCGCCGCGTCATTACACGGCGCCTGGCCACAAATTCAGAGCAATTTATGCCTAAATATCTTTTTGTTTTGGCTCCATCTCTTGTTTTTCTTTTTGTAGGTATATGATCGATGTTCTTGATATGGTGCCATCTGAAGCTATAGAAAGTGAGTAACGTGAAGAGCGTTTTATATTTTTTAACCGAAAAGGTGCACACAAAAAAAGCAGCATTTTGTGTATTCACATATTAACGCTGATGTTTTGCAGAGTTCAACAAAAGCCGTGGACACTGCATAGAACGGGAGAACTATCTTGCTGACCTCTTGCAGGGGAAACCTAGGAGGTAAGTTGTCTGCCGCCTAGGAGCAAGTTTTTATTAAATGTAATATATGCGCCTCTGGAGTCAGCAGTGCGTTAAACATTTCAAGAATTTTGGATATTGTATCATTGCCATTTTTTTTTTCCTTTTGGGGGAGGGACATATACGCTTACCATTTCCTTGCATACTCCTCACCCCCACTACTACTCATCTGGTTAAGTCCAACTTCTTGATCCAGATCAATGACTCGGGGTTTCGAAGCAAGGAAGAGCCATTTTCAGGGTGGTAGCAGTGACAGGATATTTCTTTTTAATCCTCACTCTCATACCTCTGAATCTATTTTGGGTGTACGGTACCAGTGTAAATTAACACACCATAATTCAAACGGCAGCAGCTTTTCAACTTAAGGCAACCTGCCAAGAGTCACACCAAGGTGCCATGTAGGCAGGGCCGGCCTTACGGGTGTGCGAGCTGTGTGGCCGCACAGGGCGCCGTGCGGCCGACGCAGCTCGTCCTGATTTTAAAAGGGAAATGTCAGGGTTCTGTTTGGACCCCTAATATTTCCCGAAGCCCCCCAACAGTAATAAATAAATAAATAATAATATTATGAAAAAAAATAATGATTTTAAAAAACAGAAAACAGCTCCTCTCTCACTCACTCACTCACACACACACACACACACACACACTCACACACACACTCACACACACTCACACACACTCACTCACACACACTCACTCACACACACTCACTCACACACACACTCACTCACACTCACTCACTCACTCACTCACACTCACTCACTCACTCACACTCACTCACACTCACTCACACTCACTCACACTCACTCACACTCACTCACACACACTCACACACACTCACACACATTATTAGACAAGTGCGAAGACTAATATCTAGGTATACACCAAGATGGTGAGGCCAATATCGGCGTGTGACGTCACCCTGCCCCCAAGATGGTGGCACGCATTCACAGAACACGCCGGTGGCCAACATGGCCGCCGCACATTCTCAAACATATTATTATGTGTCTGAATATATTTTTTCGTATATTCGGACATATAGTAATTTATTCATTTTACATGTAGTCTAGGTTTTGTGTTCTGTTTTCTATTTTTACTTTTCTAGATGCACTTACTTGAAAAAAGGGATCGGCATGACAACCTGACACTTTATTTGTATAGACTCTATTGTAGTTTGACATTTATTGTTTACCTTCTGTTGTTTTATTTGATAAGAATACTTATATTGTGCTGACATGTTTAATACCTTTGAATAAAAGTTTTATTTTTATCATACTTTTGAATATGTTTCTTTGCGGCTTAACAAAATAGGAGTCTTTAAATGGTGCGGATATTGGGGGAAATGGGTGTGGTTACGGGGGTGTGGCCACTGAGGGGCGCTGTAAAGCTTTCTCGCACAGGGCGCCTAAAGGCCTAAGGCCGGCCCTGCATGAAGCGCCCTTTTCTCAAGCACTCTGAATTTGAAATATGTTTTAATCATATAGGCATATGTTTTAGATTTAAGGCCTTTTTCACTCTTTGCACATAATGGCTGGAAATTGGGGTCTCCTCTGGTTGGATGTTGCTTTTATTTTCGGCCTCCAGCCTGGGGAAACTTGAAGTGGTTCAGCTGAACTGGATCATTGGGATACCAATACATAAGAGTCCTTTCCATACCTTGCCCATTTTCTAAGGACCTGTCATATTGGGTAAATTATGTTTGTGAAACATGGGAAAATGGCCCACCATTATATGATGTGTTCCATTTGGCTGCTGAGAGCCCTTGGCAGCACCTAGTACTTGGGATATATAGGCGCTTGTGACCTTCTTCCCTTCCAAGATTATGCCCAAGCAGCCAAATACCAAGCCTGAGCACTGTCACGTGGGAAATGGGAAGGTCATTATCTTGGTATAAACTTGCACAAGGAGCTTACATAACTCGCAGCTCAGGCATGTGAACAGGGCTATGGGGAAGTGTGAGAAGAGAAGTAGGGAAGGAGGCTATCAAGCCATCAGATGGATCCCAATTTTTTTTTTCAGATTGTTGACATCATATTATTCATAGCTGTGCTGAAAGAATCCCATCTATCCATTGAATTGGGCTAAAACTATTGTTTCCTTCTATCTTAACAATTGTCTGGAGAGATTCTATTTGTTAACTTACTACTGGCTCTTTAAACCCGGTAAACCTGTATTTTATTTTAAGTCTTTGACGGTCCGTGGAAATAACTGAATCATACATTGCCAGTGTGGGTTTTGTATTCTGCTCTCATTTACGTTTTTTGTTTTTCTCTCATTACCTCTTTCTCCTGACTGTAAAAGCAATCCAGCATCAGACGGGTCTATGCTGCCTAAGGCCAGACACCAGCAGCACTTCTCTAGCGTGAATGTTAACTCGGGACCTGACTTTAGACCACCTCTGTGTCGTCAGCAGCAGCTGTGGTTTCCTGGGTAATGTCTGAGTCTCAGTTACACATACCACAAAACATTCACTGGCTTTGGCTATAGGCACAGAAATATATATATATATATATATATATATATATATTGAATTGCACTGCATGTGATGGACATGCTATGGGTGAAGAGGTTTAAGATTTTGATGGAAGGTACTTTCCTACAACCTCTATTTAGAAATTTTGCTGAAAGACACTATAAAAAGAACCTGTTTTGTTCAAGGAAATAAATATCATCTATACTTTGAATAATATAGCTCTGCATTTAAAATGTACTAAATTATATACTTGGCTTTGGACCTTCCATCTACTATCAGACTAAAGGCTTGTTCACACTAGTCACACAGTAAAACTCAGCACAACAGCTAATGTCGAGTGTCAGCAGTGAGCCATGGTGCCTTGCATTGTTTCATTCATGTCTCCACACCGCTTTACATTGCGCTGCAGGGTGCGGTGGCAGCCAGTGTGCCATGAGAAAAATGCGGCATGTCAACATTTTACTGCAGCCTTCCATACTGCACATTACACCTGCATTGTGGTGTGAACGGGGGACATAGAAAGCAACTGTTTTCTTTGTGCCCTAGAGATGACTGCCATTGTTCCAGTGCAGTAAATGCCAGTGCCCAGGCCCATTCTTGGCTCTGCCCATTTGATATAAATGTTATAAATTAGAAAAAAAAAAGAGAGAGCTGATTTAAGGAAAATTGGTTTCATATACAATATATGGCTGGATGAACAATTAGATAAACTGTCTGAGCTTTCTGTTGAGTTCAGCTGTACGTTGATGAAGTGGCTGTATCCAGCCTGCTAACATCAGAGCCTTCTGGGTCACACACATAGATAGAAGGTCGGGTCACCTAAAAATCATTGAAGACACCTCTATTGTAGGCAGACTGTGCCAACACTTTCCATTTGGCGTGCAGCTGCAGAAGTGCCACTCTGTGCTTTAAATCCGTGACAGATAACCTTAGATCTTCAACTGTTGTAAAGCTACAAGTCTCAGCATGGTCATGTTTTGACGAGCAGAGGGCATCTTTACGTTCGTTAGAAGGGGCTTCCTTTTTTTTGTTTTTCGGAATTTTTAGATTTTAGGAATTGTCTCATGCTGCCTTCATTTTGCACCTTTGCATATCTATCCTTTGTGAATTGCTTAACACTTCTCCACATCACTGAAAGAGGAATGTTGAATCACCATGTCCATGTTTTTTTAAATTTTTGGGGTTTTCAGACTAACATACTATCCCTGTACATCGTCGTATATCTTACATATGGTGGCTGCATTTTATATGCTAATTTTCCTTTTTAGTTTCCTTTTTTTAGGCTTTTTTTTTTTTTTCACCTTTATTTTCATCTGGTGATCTGTCCAGTAACACACTTCCTGTCTTAGGGTGGCTCAACTCTACGGAGGGGCAATGGAGCCACCCATTGACAGCAGCATTATCACCCTGTGGAGAGGATAGTGTTGGATGCACTAGCCGATTTAGATGGGATTTACTAATACATTAAATCTGAACTCCAGATAACACTTTGTAAGCAGTTTAAACAACCTTTTTTTTTATTTATTTTTTTAAATCTCCTTTTTGGATAAAGGTTTTATATAAATGCATAAAAGCCAACCATTATAAGCACATCTGTCAGTGTTAAATGGTTTGTCTCAGCCCTTTATTTGCCACTTTTTCTGGACAGTTTGGTCTGATAAAAGAAAGTTAAAAAATAACACATTTACTGGCCAGATCACCATGTGAAAATAAAGGAAACCAGCCTAAAAAATAAAACCAATGTAACTACCACACCAGGCAGGCCCTTGCACTACATAGTTGTTGGTAGTCTAATAGAGATTGAATAATCAGATGATATTATGTGTGATGGGTTTAACACTTGGTCTCTGGGTTTTTGCACGATTGCTTCACTATTTTTTGTTAGAATGTCTCAATGGTGCTCATTTTTTTTGTCCTAACTGATTTTTTTTTCCTCACCCTTAAAGCTATCCATATGCTAATCCAAGTTGGGGACCTAGATTATCTACACCCTTGATTTCCAGGCTACCAGGGCAGTATATACCAGGGCCTCAACGTGGCTTACTACCGATGCCTGGAAGACCTCCCGGGTGAGTGCTCCACCTTTTACACAGCTAAAGCAAAAAATATATTTGTCGCACTTGCCGATTATACTCACCGAAACATAACGGCCAAAAATTGCACTTTTGGCATAATGCCAAAAGTGCAATTTTCTGGCCGATAAAGTGGTGCATCCATTCTTTCCTCCCCGCAGGGACACAGAGCAGCACCCAGCACGGGAGAGAGAAACTGTCAGAGGCGGCCGAGCACTCCGGGAGGAGTACATTGTGAGTGGCCGGCGTCTCTCCTCCCTGCGCTGCTCAGCCTCCTGTCACAGATCAGAGGACAGCAGTGTGGGCGTCTGACCTCTCCTCCTCTCTCAGCCTCCTGTGACAGCATGTCAGGATGGAAAGCGGGTACATAATTGAGGACATGGTATGGTTACTATATCCTCAATTATGAATGAATTGGGAAGCGATCTACATCACTTCCTG